CCCGAGGGAACCAAGCTAAAATGGCTGCCTAACCCAGCACATAAAATGGCCACCAACAGTACAAACGGCTGACCCTTGCTGAACTTGGGATGGATTATGTAGGTAAAGTAAATGTTTTCCTTGCTCGAAAGCCAGGCGGATCCGACACCAAGGAGCATGGCCCTCCCTGACGAGCCAACGCTGTCCCAAGACAGTAGGGTTGCCAGGTCTGGATTGGAAAATACCTGGAGACTTCGGGGGTGGAGCCAGGAGAGGGTGGGGTTTGGGGAGGGGAGGGGCCTCAGCATAGTACAATGCCACAGAGTCCACCCTCAAGGCAGCCCCATTCTCCAGGGGAGCTGATCTCTGTCATCTGGATATCCGTTGCAACCCCCGGGAGATCCCCGGGTCCCACCTGCAGGCTGGCAAACCCCCCCCCCCCGGGTAAATAACTTAAAATAAATTAATACATAAATAATTAAAAAACAGTCTTTAAGGCCGCCGGTATCCTGGTCCCTCGCCATATATGAGAATTTCTTCTCCATCGCCACCTCGGGAGTCCGGGAAACACTTTCGTCCAAGCCTAAGAGATCCCAGAATCTCAACAAGCGTCATGTGGTTATCTTAAAATAAATTAATATATAAATAATAAAAAACAGTCTTTAAGGCCGCCGGTATCCTGGTCCCTCGCCATATATGAGAATTTCTTCTCCATCGCCACCTCGGGAGTCCGGGAAACACTTTCGTCCAAGCCTAAGAGATCCCAGAATCTCAACAAGCGTCATGTGGTTATCCGTATCGATAGAGGTGGCGGGGAGGGTCGGTCGTCATTTGAGGAGAACAAAAACCACCACCACATGCAGTAGTACGAGCCAGAATGAAAACGGGGCTGTGGCGGCCCGGTTACCTTGTGGCCCCATTGAGGGAACCCCCTTCGGTTCGCGCATGTAGAAATCGGGCTGTTCGCTTTTCCGGAAATTAGTCTCCACCTGGTCACTGGTTGGTGGCACCGTCTTCCAATCACCAGGCGGCGTTACGGTCAGACAATGAGTTACGAGCGTCTGCTTGAACCAGTGCTCCCGGGAAACGCATTCATAGTCACCCTCAGAGTCTTTGGAAATCTGGTCAATAAAATGGGTGCAGGGATCCACGCCGTGGACGCAGTGGGCCATGGTTTTGTTCCGGTGGACCCAGGTGTACGTGGCGTGGTGGGATTCGAGGGAGCAGTTCAGATAGTAGCGAGACCGCAGGGGGACTCCTGCACAAGTCTTCTCTTGAGACTCTCCTGGAGGAAAAAGAAAGAACTGTTGAAAAGAAAGGACGCATTTGGTTGCTTACAACCAGGGGTCATTTCCTGCAGGAGCGCACAGGAGTGGAGCTCCGGCAGTAAAGAACCCAGGGGGCGGGCACATGCAACAAGCCCCGCCCCCTGCTCCCAGCAGCCCTCAGTCACAGCGAGAACCAGCCAGGTAAGTTGCAGAGGGCCCCCCCCGCCCAAAACAGTCCAGTGGCACCTTTAAGACCGAGGTTTATTCAGGTACAAGCTCTCCCTCCTCTGCGAGGACAGATCTACACGTCCGTCCCCCGCAATAGCTAGCAATCCAAAACTGTCCAGTGGAGCCTGAGTGGTGGGTGTTGCCGTCTGACACACTTCCGGTGATGCCAAGGGGTGTGGCATATGCAAATAGGTTATGCTAATGAGCTCCTGCACCTCTTTTTCTACGAAATGACCCCTGCTTGCAACACATGTGCACCTACTCCCCTCACGGGAGGAGGTTATACTGAAAGTGTCTTGCTTGAGGAAGCACTCACTCCATGAAACAACACACATTAAGATGCCTTATATGGAATCAGACTGCTGGTCCATCAAGATCAGTATTGTCTACTCAGATGGGCAATGGCTCTCTAAGACCTCAGGAGATCTTTCCCATCTCTCCAGGGGCTCAGGAGGTCTTTCCCATCTCCTATTACCCGGTCCTTTTAACTGGAGCTACTGGGGACTGAACCTGGGACCTTCTGCGTGCCAAGCAGATGCTCTTCCACTGAGCCAGGGTCTCAGACAGAGGTCTTTCCCATGCCCTATTGCCTGGTCCTTTGAACTGGAGACGCCGGGGATTGAACCTGGGACCTTCTGCATGCCAAGCAGATGCTCTGACACTGAGCCAGGGTCTCAGGTCAAGGTCTTTCCCATCACCTACTGCCTGGTCCTTTTTAACAGGAGATGCCGGGGATTGAACCTGGGACCTTCTGCATGCCAAGCAGCTGCTCTTCCAATGAGCCAGGGTCGCAGTCAGAGGTCTTCCCCATCACCTACTGCCTGGTCCTTTGAACTGGAGAATCTGGGGATTGAACCTGGGACCTTCTGCATGCCAAGCAGAGGCTCTACCACTGAGCCCCTCCCATTCAGCAGTGTCTACTAAAACTGGCAGTGGCTCCATAGGGTTTCATGCAGAGGTCTTTCCCATCACCTACTGCCTGGTCCTCTTCATTTGAGATCCCAGGGATTGAACCTGGGACCTTCTGCCTGCAAAGCAGGTACTCTTCAACTGAGACACAGCCCCTCCGCTTAAGAAAGAAATTCAAGGCCTAGCTTAACACACAGTCATGTTCTTTTCTATATTGAGAGACTATAGAGGACTCCTAGGAGAGCACCCCAATTGGCCCAGTTTGGCCCAAACTCATCAGATCCCAGAAGCTAAGCAGGATTGGCCATGGTCAGAACCAGTGCTCCCTCTAAACTGTGGAGTCTTGTGAGCAAAACTTCTACTTTGTGAGGAGGAGGAGAAGGAGAAGAAGAGATTGGATTTGTACACTGTCCTTCACTCAGAGTCCCAGAGCGGCTTACAAACGCCTTTCCCTTCCCCTCCCCACAACAGACACCCTGTGAGGTGGGGCTGAGAGAGCTCTGAGAGAATTATCCTTGAGGGAGCAGCTCTGACAGAACTATGGCTTGCCCAAGGTCATCCAGCAGCTGCAAGTGGAGGAGTGGGGAATCAAACCCGGTTCTCCCAGATTTGGCTGCTGCATAAATTAGTTTACTCTGGAGCCACCCTTCCTGAGCTACGACAAAAATGTGTGACCTGGAAGCTAAAAAACTGTGATCTAGCTCACACTAACTCTGCTTAGAGGGATCACTGGGTCAGGACGCAGATGGGAGGCCACCAAGAAGACCGGGGTTGCTATACGGTGGGAGGCCGCGGCAAACCACCGTTGCTCACCTCATGCCCGAACGACCCATGGAAGGGATCGGCATGAGTTGGTTGTGACTCAATGGCATATTCTTCTCCTAAGACGGAGTTTGCAAGGACTTGCGTGAAACATGATCTGCTTATTAAAAAACAACAACAGCAACACCTGCTGTCCGACTCCATCAGTGCTGCCTTGTGAACAACTTAAACGAAACTCTTTGTTCGTACTCAAAAATCCAGCTTTGGCTGATCTCAGACGGCCCTCTATCACCGGACATGTTTTATGACTGAGCCACAGAATCGACCCACGGAATGAATTGATTCGACCACACCAGGGTGTTTACGCATGCCCTCTGTTTGCTTTTTGTTTCAAAAGACGGGCACTGACACCCTTCGGCCTGGATCGCCCAGGCAAGCCCGATCCCGTCACATCTCTGTCAGCTATGCTGCCATGGAGGTTGGGGGAGTTCATTTTGTGTCTTGCTAATTGCTGCTACATTCCTTTCCCTGCTGTGATGCCTTTGCTGGAACGCTTATCTCTACAGATGTGCAGGAGGAGGTTGTGTTGTCTGGAGAGCTCCTGTGTACCGTGAGAGACTCTTGGTTCTCATCTTTAGCCACCTAATGGTTGCCCAGCATGATAAGCCTAAACAGCATGATAAACCTAAACAGCATGATAAAAAGTAGAGACATCTCCATGCCAACAAAAGTCCACATGGTCAAAGCAATGGTACTCCCAGTTGTCATGTATGGCTGCGAGAGTTGGACTGTAAGGAAGGCCGAGCGCCGAAGAATAGATTCTTTTGAACTATGGTGCTGGAGGAGACTCTTGAGAGTCCCTTGGACTGCAAGGAGATCAAATCAGTCAATCCTAAAAGAAATCAACCCTGACTGTTCCCTGGAAGGCCAGATACTGAAACTGAAGCTCAAATACTTTGGCCACCAAATGAGAAGGGGGCACTCCCTGGAGAAGACCCTGATGCTGGGAAAGATTGAAGGTCAAAGAAGACGGGGACGGCAAAGGATGAGATGGTTAGACAGTGTCATAGATGCAACGAACATGAAATGGAGCAAACTTCAGAGGACAGCGGAAGACCGGAGGGCCGAGAGCGCGCTGGTCCATGGGGTCGCGAAGAGTCAGACTCGACTGTGCGACTGAACAACAACAAATTGCTGCTAAATTCCTTTCCCTGCTGTGATTCCTTTACTGGAACGCTTATCTCTACAGATGTGCAGGAGGAGGTTGTGTTGTCTGGAGAGCTCCTGTGTACCGTGAGAGACTCTTGGTCCTCATCTTTAGCCACCTAACGGTTGCCTGACTTATCCCGCGTGCAGGAGTTTGCCTCATTGGCCAATGCCATGGGGGGGGTGCATACGAATAGCCTATATCCTATTAGGCTCTACTGGCCATGGCCATTCTTAACAGTGCTTATGTTACCGCATCTATAGCTCTGCAATAAAAGTATAACCATTCCTGAATGTGTGTACTTCGTTGTTGGCCGTGGGTTCTGACAATCTCGGGAACTAAGCAGGGCTGACCTGGGAAAGTGTTTGAATGGGAGACCTCCAGAGAATACCAGGGCTGGGCTGCAGAGGCAGGCAATGGCAAACCGCCTCTGAATGTCCCTTGCCTTCATGCCCCACTGGGGGGTGCCAGGAGTCAGCTTGATTTGATGGCAAAAAAGAAAAGAAAAGTGCTGACCAGGAAGAAAGGGAGATTCAGGTGTCTTCTGAAGGGTAGACGCGTACGTGTGTACTCTCCACGATGTATTATGTGCACAGTTGCGTACATCGTATGAACACAGGGGCCTGCTTTGCAATGAATCAGACCATTGGTTCGTCAAGGTCTGTATTGTCTACTCTGACTGGCAGCCGCTCTCCAGGCTTTCAGGTGGAGGCCTTCGATTTATTTATTTATTATTTATTACTTGTCTTTATACCCCGCCCTCCCTGCGGGCAGGCTCTGGGCGGCTTACAGAGGTCAGTACCATGGACCTAGACAACATAAAACTTTAAAACATTTTAAAACAGCTTAAAAGATTCTTACATTTAAAGTGCTCGCAGTGTTAACAGTTCCTTAAAATCAGATGGCGTGCTCTAAGATACACCATCCGAGTGCTCAGTTCAGCGGTCTTCCGGTCTGTTAGGGCCAGCTCAGTCTCGTAAGTGAAAGCCTGGCAGAAGAGCTCCGTCTTACAGGCCTTGCGGAACTGCAAGAGGTCTCGCAGGGCCCTGATCTCTTCCGGGAGCTCATTCCACCAGTAAGGAGCCACCACAGAAAAGACCCTGGCAGCGGTGAGGCTGGCATCTTTGGGGCCCGGAATGATTAATCGATGTCGCGACCCCGACCGTAGTGCTCTCTGGGGTCTATATGGGGAAAAGGGGTCCCTCAGGTATGCCGGACCCTGGCCATACAGGGCTTTAAAGTTAAGTACCAGCACCTTGAAGCGAATTCGGTACGCTATTGGCAGCCAGTGCAGTGACCTAAGCACAGGCTGGATGTGCTCCCAACCAATGTTCCCTCTAAGCTGTGGAGTCTTGTGAGCAAAAATTCTACTTTGTGAGCTCCTGGCATTAAAGTTGTGAGTGAGCAACTTGGCTACTGCATAAGTTAGTTTGCTCTGGAGCCCTCCTTCCTGAGCCAGGACAAAAATGTGTGAGCCGGAGGCTAAAAAAACTGTGAGCTAGCTCACACTAACTCAGCTTAGAGGGAACACTGCTCCCAACGCGGGAGGCCCATCAACAGCCTGGCTGCGGCATTCTGCACTAGCTGCAGCTTCCGGATTTGCGACAAGGGCAGCCCCATGTACAGAGCGTTACAGTAGTCTAATCTCAGGGTGACCGTCGCATGGATCACTGTAGCCAGGTCGCCAGAGTTGAGGAAGGGAACCAACTGCCGAATCAGCCGAAGATGATAAAAGGCTGATTTTGCAGTGGCTGCTACCTGGGCCTCCATTGTCAAGGAGGGGTCCAGGAGCACTCCCAAACTCCTAACCTCCGACGCTGGCACCAGTAGCGCCCCATCGAAGGCCGGGAGCGGGATCCCCAACCCTGTGCCGCCACGACTCAAGCACAGGACCTCTGTCTTCGCCGGATTTAACTTCAGCCGGCTCAGCCTGAGCCACCCAGCCACGGCCTGTAGAGCCCGTTGAAGATCTTCTGGGTTGGAATCCGACTGGCCGTCCCATACCTCCGAGCAGGGCTCTTTTTGTAGAAAAAGCCCAGCAGGAACTCATTAGCATAATAGGCCACACCCAACAGCAAGAACTCATTCGCCTATTAGGCCACACCCCTTGCAGCACAGCTCATTAGCACATTAGGCCGCACCCCCTTGTTACCAGAGGTGTGGTTATCCAGCCACACCCACCTTTTGCTTGTTATTCTGTTTACCTTGTTTGTTGTCAAAACCCAGGACCTTTTTTTGTAGCAGCGACTCCTTTGCATGTTAGGCCACACACCCCTAATTGTAGCCAATCCTAATGAGTTTCTGCTGTTGGGTGTGGCCTATTATACTAATGAGTTCCTGCTGGGCGTGGCCAACTCGGGAGCCAGTCGGAACTCCGTTCCTGTGCGTTCCTGCCCAAAAATAGCCCTGCCTACAGACAACCTGGGCAAGGGGGCGCATCCGAAGGTCTAAATGCCAAAAATGATGAACCTCATATTGCTATACGTACCTTTTGCATCACTGTGGAGTGAAGGGGAACAGACGTCTTGGGGGACTTTATAAGTCAGAGACTGCGACGAATTTCTACAGAGGGAAACAAGAAAGAAAGCCGTGTCACAATCCCAGGACGAACATTAGTCACCTTAAGAATAGCCTGTTCTAGTGATAATCCCGGTGTCAAGTCTATCCTAGTGGAGCAAAACAGAAGCCCAATGGCCCCTTAGAGACCAGTAAGAGTTTCAGGGCATTGGGCGTCAAAGCTTCCTTCGTCAGATATGAGCAGAGTAGAAATGGAGATCTTACCAGGATAAAAGAGGACTCGAGATCTCCATTTCTACTCTACTCGTCTCTGACGAAGGGCGCTTTGTCTCTCGGAAACTTAATACGCCGAAGCTCTCGTTGGCCTGTCGGGTGCTGCTGGACTCGAGTCCAAGTGTTGTGCTGCAGACCGACATGGCTAACCCCCTCTGAAACGATCTTCATGGGGCGGACTCGGTTTCTCTAAAGCTCACCCTGGAATAAATGCTGTTAGTCTCTGTCGGGTTTTGCAAGTATCATCCACAGGCCAGTAGCCAGGATTTTTGTTGCTGTTCAGGGGGCAGTTAAATTACGGTTGATTAAATTAATCCGAATAATGACCCTAGATGCTGGAAGAAGTGTGGACACGAGGGCACGTACCTCCATTGCTGGTGGGATTGCCCACAAATTAACCCATTTTGGAAAGAAGTTACGGCCAAAATTAAGGAGATAACGTCACAGGAAATCGAATGTAAACCGGAGGTTTTGCTTTTACACAAATGGGACGGATCGCTAGTAGGTACGACTAGGGAGACTATTTCGACACTACTAGCGACTGCTAAGTTGACGATAGCGGAAGGATGGAAATCACCACCCCCACCTTCTTTGGCAAGATGGCACGATAAACTGTGGCAACAGTTCATTATGGCCAAAATTGCGGAGTCAGTACATAGAACGCAACAGACAGGCATAGCTACACATATGAGATATGTGAAAACATGGTCACCGATACTACATTATCTGTCAAAGGAAGGAATCCTCCCACGTAACACAGCATATCACGAGTGGTTACACTTGTGAGACACATGAAGTTACAGGATGTGCTACTGGATCATACCCCGCACCTACACACTGAACAACACTCATATTAAGTATTATTAACAACTAACCAAGGGAAACGTACTATCAATTGTTAACCTTAAGCAGCTATGTTCAACGAATAGTAAAATGTAACATGTATTATCTGGATATACTTTGTTTTTAATATACCAATAAAAAATCAAATTAAAAAAAATTAATCTGAATGCCTTCATTAAAGGCGGAGGCTCCGAGCCTGTTTCTAGCCCTTCCTTTCGAGGGACGAGGCAGCGAGCATGTCAGTTCCCAGGGGGAAAACCAGCTCAGAGGGCATTTAAAGACTTACTGAGTTCCCTTCCACAGAGCGAGAAAGCTTAGAAGGGAACTCGGGAGTGGCACCTTCAATCCCCAGTCCTGCTGTGTACCACCGAGGTCACGATGAGTCTTTCAAATGCATTCTCAGTTTGGTGCAGAGGTTGAATGCCATGGACTGTAATCTGGGAGGAACCAAGTTTGATTCCCCACTTCTCCACATGCAGCTGCCGGTGTGACCTTGGGTCAGTCACAAGTTCTTTCAGAGTTGTTCTCTTAAAGGCAGTCCTCGAGAGAGCTCCCTCACCCCCTTCCCTACCTCACAGGGTGTCTGTTGTGGGGAGGGGAAGGGAAGGGAAAGGAGACTGTAATCGGCTCTGAGACTCCAAGTGAAGGGTAGGTTTTGATTCATCATTTCCCTCCCTCCCTCCCTTCGAGCGGTTAAGAGTGGTTAAGAGTGCGGACTCTGATCTGGGAGAAGCGAGTTTGATTCCCCACAACTCCACATGCAGCTGCCGGTCAGTCACAAGTTCTTTCAGAGTTGTTCTCTCAATGGCAGTCCTCGAGAGAGCTCCCTCACCCCCTTCCCTACCTCACAGGCAGTGTTCCCTCTAAGCTGAGTTAGTGTGCGCTAGCTCACAGTTTTTTAGCCTCTGGCTCACACATTTTTGTCTTTGCTCAGGAAGGAGGGCTCCAGAGCAAACTAATTTATGCAGTAGCCAAATTGCTCACTCCCAATTTTAATGCCAGTAGCTCACAAAGTAGAATTTTTTTGCTCACAAGACTCCACAGCTTAGAGGGAACATTGCTCACAGGGTGTCTGTTATGGGGAGGGGAAGGGAAAGGAGACTGTCAGCGGCTCTGAGACTCCAAATGAAGGGCAGGGTATAAATCCAATCTCCTCCTCCATGAGCCTTTGGGAAACATGAAAATTAATTTGGGTGGTCTACAGCAGGATTGGGCTAGCAGAAAAGGGGGACTGTTGGAGATGTATTGAAGCCCGGAGTGCCCTTGTAAGCTTTCCTGCCCTGTGGCAGGGAACTCAAAAGGCATTTAAGTGCCTTCTGAAGGCAGTTAGATGTTCTCTGAGCTGTCTGTTCCTGGATCCCATGTTGCCTCCCCAAAATTCCACAGGGGGAGGGAGAGGGTAGCCTGAGGGGCAAGTGACAGTGTTTTCACTCCCGGCCACTGCCATTTCTCCTTAAAAAGTTTCTGGCCGATGCTCCCTCTAAGCTGTGGAATCTGGTGAGCAAAAATTCTACTTTGTGAGCTCCTGACGTTGAAGTTGTGAGCCAGCGATTTGGGCTGCTGCATAAATCAGTTTGCTCTGGAGCCCCATCCTTCCCGAGCTGAGACAAAAATCTGAGAGCTGGAGGCTAAAAAACTGTGAGCTGGCCCACGCTAACTCAGCTTAGAGGGAACACTGTTGCTGGCATGGCTGTTTGTGGGGCGGGGCTTTTTGTTAGGGGGCGGAGCCCCGAAATGCCCCACTGTAGCTACGGGCCTGATCATCCCTACAGTCACGAAAGGGTTAAGCTGAAGTGTCTGTAAGCGAATAATAGCAAGTTTTGCACAGAACCAATCAGGTGTAGAGTAGATCCTTCCCACCGAAAAGGGGGAGGGTTGTATTCTTAATGAGGTGACGGTCCAGGGCTCTTTTTGTAGAAAAAGCCCAGCAGGAACTCATTAGCATAACAGGCCACACCCAACAGCAGAAACTCATTAGCATATTAGGTCACACACACCCTGACAGCACAGCTCATTAGCACATTAGGCCACACCCCCATGTTACTAGAAGTGTGGTCATCCCGCC